AATAGTGATGTGAGAATTGAGGCGGGGCATTTATTTACTTTCAGCCAGTTGTGGCTCAGGAGCTTAAAAAAAGACAACAGTAGCTAGTGTCTAGCTAAAGTAATGAAGTATTTCCTATTACAGCATTGTCCTGTGTCTCTGAAGTCTCACCAGTCGAGCTGTGGTTGTTACAGAGTATCTTAAACTAAGAAGATCGCACGATAAATGAAAACTTTCATAAAATCCAGTCAATGGCTTTCCTTGCCGCGGGTGGCGTAATTCTTACCACCATTAACAATAACTAGCCATGGAAATGTTTCATGTTTTCTAATTACTAGTATTATGTATGCTTTTAATAAGTACAAAGTGTCTGATCGATGTGGACAGGATTAAGCATACGCATAAGTGCTTAGCAGAAGTTGGGTCCTTAAATGACCCTTCTGTATTTCCTTTGTCATGGCACTAAACCTGCTGCGCTTCTTGAACTTTATCTGAGTAAGTGCTGCGTACTGTATTTATATCAGACACATTTTTTGTTTGCATTTTGGCTTTATGAAATGTCAGAACCAATCTTATACTAATGAAATGTCCAAATTTCATCTCAGCTATGAACATAGCTGCTAATCCTATAAGATGTTTACTTTCTGCCTCTCTGGCTATGTATAGTAACACAGAGTCTGCCAACTTAAGCACTGCTTACAGACATCTCCCTACTGCTACTCAGTCTAATAAATGTTATTTCATTGAGTAAAGATTTAAAATTAATTAATTAAATGTTATTAAAATCCCTTGCAACCTTTGACAAGTTTGCTCTTACTGCAAGACAGTAAAAGTAGTTACCTGAATAGTGCATGTGCCCCATGAATCCCCACCAATTCAGTAATTTTTATGTTTTAATCTTACAATTTCTTAACTTTAATCATTGTGGAATACAGCTTTTGATGGTAGTGGCTTTGTTTTAGGTGGAAACTTGGAGGGATGAAGTGGAGAGAAAGGTAGGCTGTTGTAAGTGATGCAAAACGGACAGGAAAAATGTAAGCCAGTGACCACTGACCAGAGTCAGACCTTCCTAGCAAATCACACACAGTGCAACTACAAACTCCCAAATCTTTCTTAAAAATTGATCTTTTTTTCCCGTGCCATTATCAGAATGAGCGCTATGTAATTCTCGGCATGAAATTCAGGCTACTTTCCTTGTGGAATTCTCTGGCCAGACAGTTCACAGGCACTGTCCAAAGAGCGTGGGTGGGTTTGTGTGTGGAGTGACATATTTTACATTTAGTTTCTAAGCTTTGGGCCCTGATTTTCCACATCCATGCACTCTGAGTAGCCCTTGGCACCTATGCAAACACCGCTACAAGCCTGCTCAGGCAGAATGGTGTATTTATTTGCGTTGGCATTGTGCCTGAGGAATTACCCGGGAATAGGGCCCTGGTGTGTTGACCACCATAGAAAAAAAAGATCTCAACAAATGTTTCTTGGTTTCCTGATATCCAAGGAACACGTTGGTTTGGATGGGAATTGCTAGGCAGACAACAGATGTGGCCAAGCAGCCCTTACCCTGCGCAGCAGTCCCGTGACCATCACTGGGGGTTGAACAGGCAGAGCACGCAGCCATCTTGCCAAATTCCCCCCCATGTTATGGAGCAAGCTGGTAAGGAGGAGGAGGTAACACCCACAGGAACATCGTGGCACCGTGCTTTGGCACCCAACTTGTTCTGACGTAGAGGAGTACAAAAGCTCAGAAGCAGCAGCCGCTGCCTGGCCCGGGGCCTGTGGCTGATGCTGCACAGCTATTGCCTGTGAAAACAGGAGATCCATTCCGCATGCTTTCTGCAATGTACTGCTGTACATTGTTCCACTGATGGGCAGCAACCAGGAACTATGTGATTTTGGCAGTTTAAGGCCAGATCTTAAAGCAGTATGATCTGACAGAAAACCTGGGAGTGTTATCTGTCTGCATTTATTTGGGCAGTGCCACTGATACAGCAAGGCAAGTACAAATAGAGCTTTCATTTTCTTGGATCAGAAGATCTTTCCCTCAGAAATCAGCCATCAACCTCTGGTGTGGCCAGTGGAAAGCCTGTTGATTCACCTTCCTTAAATGAATTGATCAGGATTTACATTATTAGTATCTTCCTTGTTCCGGGGTGAATGAGGAAGGTCCTCTCTTCCAGGTGACCTGCCACTGCCTTGCATGTGTTCAGAAACAGGAGCCCAGCTTTTAAAAAACTGTAAATGAGATTTATTCATGCTGTATGCACAAAGTAAACACAAAAATCAGCAGCCCATGGGGCTCTGTTCTTCAGACTAGTTGTGTTTTCCTCTTGTAAGAGACTTGCCCTATTGTCACCCTTGTCCAGTTAAGATTGCTAGACTTCCTCTGTACTTTACAGTGTGTTACTTTGTATCTGTGAAGGATTTATCATAAAATCCATGCTATACCATGACAGAAGAGTACTGATTAACTAAATGATGTTTCCTATGGTGACATGGGACCAAATATACCTTTCTAGCTCTACTGTGCAGGACTCAAAACGACCCTTAAGCCCCACGCAGAACTGAGAACACGCACCTCAGGAAGTCTCAGGCAGAAAGGTGTCATCCCTCAGTGCCTGGTTGAGAACCTTTTTCTGTTTAGTATTTTTAACCTTCTCCTTCTGTTTAGTTCCTGCTCTGCCACTTAATGTAATGCCCGTTTATTGCAGACTGCTTTTAGTTTGGTCCTTTTAAAAGCTCCCTGAGGCACAATGATGCCTAGAAATTAATGTATTCCCTTCCCGCACATCAAGCAGATGTGTGTATATTGAGTTAGTGTCTCTAACATTTAGCTGATTTCTTTTCAGAGCATAGTTGAATCACTGCTACATACCATTTGTGGCCTTTCCTCCTTAAACCACTGGGATATGTAGATTTATGTATACAATTTTTTAGATTTAATTGCAAAGCGCTTGTGTGACTTGCAGGGTTTTAGAGAATCACTAGTCCTAAATATGCCACGCAGCATAGTGCTCCAGTTAACTGAATGTGGCTGGATTCAACAGGAGCATGCATAGGGCACCCTTGGCATGCAAAGACCTTGAAGTGGTTGTCTTTTTGTCATCTTCGCCCACCTTTCTTCTTTTTCTTACTGTCTGGAATAGAAGTTGTCTTTGAAAAGGTTACTGCTGGCTGAAAAGCTGAGGACTTTGGTTAACATGTTATGCAAAAGCATCCTTGCCAAGGAATTAACATGTATTCCAGCTAACTGCACAGCCAGGTTAGGGTAACTCCTGCTTCTCTTGGTCTAAAGTGAAAGAAAATCCTGTCCTAATGCTCATATTGCACAAAGCCGTGACAGACACTTCTCAGTTATAGCTGAGGTCACCCATCTTACCTGTAAATGGCAATGCTTCATTTTCCGTCAGCAAACGGTGGTACTTCTCCACATACCTGCAAATCTTCTATCATGTCCCCTCTTGCTGATATAGTCAGAGAAAACTCTTTGGAAGAGCATCAGTCCTGTCCTACTTTCTACCCTTATCATAAAGAATAGTGCCATTGCACTCAGAACTAAAAATGCCATCGTCGGTTTGCATCGTGTTTATCAAGGCAAGACATCGTAAGGGTGATCTTCTGGACAGGTAGACAGAATACTCTTCCCACTGTACTGAAAAGACTTAGCTGTTCAAGTAAAGTCTTTTAAAAATATAGATTTATTTTAAGCACATGAACCATAAGGATAGGCACAATTGTAAACACAGAAAGATTGAACATGGCAACGAACTTGCAGCCAGAAAACAATGTTTTTCACATACAAAATCTACTAAATTGGTTGGTTTTGGTACTAGACACTCTAGACTTTGCTCATGTCATTTTCCGTTTGAAAATATCCTGTCACTCCACCCCTTCCTAGTTTTTATTTACAAGTTACTTGCATAAATACCTGTATATTTTAAATACTGCATAAAGTGCATTCAGATGAAGGATGGAAAAAGGTAAAGGCCCAACTTCCAGTGCACTAGAGGGGACTGAGGCAAAACATACTCAAATCATTGACTAGAAAGAGCTTGGTTTTGAATCAAACTCTAAGAACATATTGAGTAATGGCACAGTAATGCAAACATGGTTTCTAGGAGGCAACTTTAGAGTAGATACTAACTACTGGAACTATGGCTTGACAGCATATTTGCCTTTTAAGTTTTGCAGAGCAAGGTCACATTCCTCTTCTGATAGTGACTAGGATAAAAACATGCTTAAGTTGGAAATGTTCCTCCTAATGTGATCCTGAATAGTTGTTACTGTAAACAGCATTCTATGTGTTTTAAAATAGTCTATTAATTCTTGGGTCTTATTATCTGCATTTTCCTGTAGAAGGTGAGCTGCAATCTTGGAATCTCAATTAGGTTTTGTTGCTGGAAGTGCAGCCATTTCCATCTTTAAGTAGCCCTTATGCCTAAAGCTGTTTCTGTTAACATCAGTGAAATTGCAGGTCTTGTGCACTATAAAGCCTAAGCTTCTTAACAAGTAGTTAAGGGAAATCTAAGGACAGTTAAAGAAAACACCAGCTTTAACCCACAGCTTCTTTTAAGTCATTTGTGTATCCCAGAAACTGGAGAAAGGCTGAGGAATAGTGCAAATTAAAACATTCTGGCATTTTTTTTCCCCCTTAAGCCATGTTGGGGATGTAGAACAACTGAGCAACACCAAAAATTCCACTTCTTTCTTTACACAAGCAGACTCCTCAGTCTCCTTTCTGAGAGGTCACCACAGTGCTGGAGCCTCTTACCACATCTATTACATTGGTGGAAGCATGAACTTGGAAAACAGTGAACAACATTCCCAGTATTGTGGATCAAGAACAGAACGGTTACAGGCGTTTTTCCCTTACACTCAAACAGGAATAACTCCTCCTGATATGAGAGTAAAAAAACCACCTTTTTTAAAATTGTAACTTCCATCTCTATTTTAGATCAATTGTGCTTATGAACAGCTAGGGAATAAATCCAGTAGAATTCAAGAGCTGAATTCTTTAACTTTTCTCAGTCATCCTTTTTGTCAGAGGTACTTGAGTTTTCCTCTTCATTGCCTTCAGGGCAGACTTTATTTCTTGCAATTGGTGTTGTTTCTGAGACGGGGATTGTAGTCTTTCTAACTGGACTGTCTTTGACTTCATATGACTCAATGTCATCCTCCTCCAACATATCTAACTGGTATCTCTGTAGCTCTAGGTATGTAGTAAACAACTTGGCATATTCTGGATGCTTGAGTGCAAAGTCCTTGAACTCATCTGAAAAATATAAAAATACAGATACTACAGTGCAGCAACAAAATCAAAGCAAATTGCAGTGCCTGCTCCTTTTACTGAAGCTGATCTCCAGTTACTTTCCTCTGAAGCATAAGGCATCTAGGTCTGTGCTTCAATAGTTTTCCCCAGAAACAGGGTATGAGAACCATCAGATAATTTCAGAGAGGAAAAAAGTAGGCAACTCTCCCTGTCAGTATGACTGTCAGAGTGCTCTTCGTTACAAAAGGACGCCACTTACCATAGGACAGCCTCCCGGTTTCATCTGCATCTATTTCTTTAAAGAGCATAGAAACGTCAAGCTCAGGCACCCCCAGAGCTGACTGAATGATACAAGCAAACTCATCTTCCGTTATAGTGCCATCCTCATCCATGTCAAAGAGCTGGAAAAGACATCACGTGCAGAAAGATTTTAGCATGGCTGTGAACCTTCTGTGCACACCAGCCTAGGTGTGCTCCTAGGACTCAAGGATTCTAGGATTCAAGAGGTGACCTGCAAACCCCAGTGCCTGGGATCTGAAGAGACTGACTGCATCCCAGCTACTTTCTCTTGCACAAGATTTGATGTTATTTTCTCTGGAATAAGACTAAGCAGACACTTAGCAAAGCAATGTACATGCTATAGTTGGGACTAGAATATTATGACAGGAAAAGTATGTAGCAAACCTGCAACAACAACTCACAGCATTAGTTCAGTAATAAAACTCATACAAACCTGATAAAACCAAAACTTATGCAAAGGTTTATGTTACTTGTCACCATGAGCTATGCTAAGGGTCTGCTGGCTTCAGCCACTGTATACTAGGTCTTAGTCTTCATTTTCATTAAGTATGGCACATCTGCCATCAGATATTAAACTTGGCATAATTTATGCTCTGACATAAAATACCTACATTTTACTATATGTGATCTGTCAGCCAGTAAGGAATTATTATAATTAACAAGGAATTTTGGTGACTGGAATGGAGACAGAAGATGTACACTGATCACCCCATCTCTCCCAGCCCAGTGACAGTAAGCATCTGCCTATGAATCACCCCCTTGAGAGATACAAGGGCTGGCTGGCTGTAATTCTTAAGTACTTGCTACAGGCAAACTTTCCCATTGCAAAGGAAAGTACATTTAGTTGCAGAGAAAACAAGTAGCAAAAGGAAACTCATAGTTCCATTTCAGACTGAACTTAACAGGGAATTAAAACAAATTACTAATTTTATAATCAGCGCAACTGTTAAGATACTGAAGAATATAGTCTAAACAAAACAAGGGAACGGCAACAATAGCTGCGAGGCTTGCTTCCTCACAGGACTCTGTAGTGGTAAAACATCCCTGAAAAAGCACCAGTCCTTTCAAACAGCTTAGCGCTTCCCTGTAAAGCAGCCAGTGGAGACAATGGATTGCCGTAAAAATTCTGGCACTTCCTGAGTACGCAGTAGTACTAAAAAGTACCCAGTTTAAGATGAACACGATCTACCTCTCATTCTGTTGTTCCATAGGGTTCATAAGAACAGACTAGTGGGTAAAATAACCGAATGTGTGTCAAAGATTTACTTAACAAAGGGTCATTCAAGCGTTTTCCTATTCAGGGATTCACAACCTGGGTATCCCTGGTCACACACTGCCTGCTTGTACCTGAGATCTGGAAAGGAGCTACCGCTCCTTGCCTGCTTGTACTATCAGGACACCACAGTACAAGCCAATAGATATGCCACTTTTGGATGTGCCAGTCCTGAATTAGCCCTTCTTGATTTCCCCCCCTCGCTTCTTTGTTAACAAGAGTGACTCTACTGAGCGCTTGGCCCACAAGAGGATACTGCTCCATCTATTGTCTACTTGTGACATTGAAGAATCACAGCAGAAAAAACCTCCGGCGAAAAAACTGCAAGTGCTGCTGAATCATATTTGGAGTTAGCCTGCCAAGTTACATATTCATTACTGCCTTCACATGGCTTTTGAAACCCTCTTCTATGAAGCTGATGCCTGCAATTCTTCCCCTCCCCTTCACACTCTAAATGTCAATTGGTTTAAGAGTATTACTCACATTTGCATAACAGATTGAAGCTATAAACTTATGATTTGAAAGCTAACAGATTTAGAGTCAGTCTTGATTTGTCAGGTTTGTAGATTTACACTAAATTGAACTTACCTGAAATGCCATCCGAATAGTCTCTTCTGTGTTGGCTGGGTTACAAAGAATAGACAACCCAATTACATATTCTCTGAAGTCGATGGTGCCATCTCCATTCTGTAACCAAATACGTATGGCAGTAGTTGTAGTTAATACAGCAAGTCACTTTAAAAGCTGTTGTATAAACCAACTATACAACAGGCACTAAGACAGTTTGCAACACAAGAGGTATTTGTTCTTCCTGAAAAAATACTAACAGCTTGCTAAATACATGTAATACTGGGGCTGAAGTAGCCATATCCATACTTTCAGTAGCTAGAAACTGGGTATCAATTTCTATCTTACGAACACCCTAACAGAAAAGATTTAAACCAACGTACAGGTTTTTCCTTAGTATATGGCCTCCAAGAAGCCTCTAACAAGAACTGGAATACCTGAGCTTAAGGTAAACGTAACAGTGCATGTAGCACTGGCACTTGCTACAGCTGAGACAACCGCAACACCCGAGAATAAACAAGCCAGCAGTGAGGCTGTTGCCATGAGTTCATTCTTCCTAGGAGCCTTCAGCAATAAAACACATGCCAGTCAATGTACAGCCTGACGATGCAGTAAATCCACATGGTCTGTCCACAGCCTTTCTCTGAAGCAAACACAGCGCCCTACACGCTACTCTGAAGCAAGTACACTGTCCTACCTTTCAAGCCAGAAATGCAATGGACTCATTGTAACAGCCTCGCTGATGGAAACGGGCATTTCAGTGTGTTAACTACAAAGCCACACCAACACAACATTTGAGGCTTCCTTTGATGGGATTCGTGATTAATTCAATGTAAGCTGCATTATATTTGCAGATAAGGAAAACTGCAGATGCCCGCTGAAATATATGCTGAAGTCAGCAGTGTTCCTGTGACCACACTGAAAGTTTCTTGAGGCCTTTGGGAAATGGCCAGCGGAGGGTAGAAGCCATAGATAAGTGTTAGGTGATGGCAGACAGAGTAGTTATGACTAGTAGCTCATAGTTTGGAACACTCACAATAAGGGCATTCATCAAAAACATTTTATAAGAAAACACAAGTGTAAAATGAAGTTTCTTCTGTGGATAACGTGTTGTACATTTCAGGAAGAAAAAGTTTTTGAAAAAACTGGCCTCCCTAAGTCTGAGAACAGCACAAAACATTTTCAGCCGAGAAGAGGGGTGGTCTCCTGGGTAAATCTGTAGTGAACAGCCCGATCTAGGTTCTATTTCTGGCTCTCCTCCCAGCTTCTAATGCTCACTTGGGCATACCAACCTTAACCTTTCTGTTCCTGGTTTTCTGCTGCTCAACAGTGGAACATGGAGCTTACCAGCAGAGAAATGTATAGCGTTTTGAAAGTCTTGGGTTCTATGAAACAGGGATTTCTGTTTAAACTCTGTAGACTGAGTTTAGGTCTTAAGACAGTCCTTGATTAACAAAATATCTATAATAATGGATTCAGTACTAACTTTTCTTTATCAAGCTATATATTTGATAAGATTTAAAACTGCTAAGGTACAATTTTATTTAGCCTTCAAAACCAATTCAGGACTGTTTTGCGTGGGCAACTGTTATTTTCTATATATCGATGGTCTAGCCAATCTCTTTTGAAGTCATGCAACCTTTGAACATCTTGTGCTTCAAAGGCCCGTGAATTTTAAGGAAACTTTCAGGCAGAAATATGACTAGTCTTGGGATATAATTTTTCTCAGTTTGTAATCATTAGAAAGAGACAATATTCTCTCATAAATGCTGTTTTATTTACAAATTGTGCTGCAGTGTTTGGCTGCATCATAGTTCTCATAACAGATCTGACATTAAAATGTGTCATTAAACTCTTAAAACAACTGAAGCAATAACTGTTCAAAGTTCCATGGAATATTATTTTTGGACAGTTTTATAGACTGTATTCTTAGCAGAGGATTGTTTGATGCACTTAGATTTTTTCAAAATTTATTTTTAAAGTTCAGAATAAGTATCCAAGGACAGTAATTGGGAAGTAAACCTTAAAGAAACTAGCATCATTAAAAACCCAACTTCTGAAATCAGTTAACACAGCTTTGGCTGCACATGGAAAAATGACAAGAGCCAGTAAGGATCATATTACTTTCATGAAAGTGCTAAAACCCAGTAATGAAAACTGAGTGCAATCTGATACACAGAACTCCAGCCATCTGAGTAGGAAATCAACTTACAAGATCATGTTGTGACTAGCTCTACTACACCCTAGGATTCTGGCTAACTTCCAAATGCTCTGGCATTTTGGTTAAGGAGAAATGATAGGGTTGTTGCCGGGAAAAGGAGATGGGAGTTAATCTGAAAATGCAGGAAAACCTTCAGTGCTTGTGTAGCACCACTGCAAACAAGCCCTTGCAATAGTCTTTCTGTGCATATCTCGCTGTGTTTGCAGCCTATGCACCCTAGAATATTTTAAGGAAGCAGCATGTGAGCTGGGCTCCAGTTCTCTAAATAGCAAAGTAGAACATCAATATTTATATATTTGTATTTATGCGACACAGAATAACCAAAACATAGCATGACATCAACAAGCCTTGTTTTCTTTAAGGTAACTAGTTTTCTGCTACTATTTTCACTACAGCATGGTAACCAGAGGTTACTATAACTAGGGTTTTTTTTATGTGACACAGTAAATCTTACACTTCGGGGAACAAGAGTTGCGTTGTCAGGAACAGTCTCCATCTTGAGTGGCATAAGGAGATTTAGGCTAGATAATCAGTTAGCTTTATGCAGCTGCCAAAGCTCTCTGAAAGACACACGAGTCTATGAAGTTTAATGTACTACTGCCCCAAAACATTTTTCTAAGTATGTAAGGCTCCAGGAAAAATCGTGTATGTGCCAGCCATTCCTCTAAGTAAACCCCAAGTCACTTACACAGCTACCACAGAGAAGCTACAACTGGACTATCTGGGCAGGAACTGCAGATGCACCTCTCTTGTTTGCACTGAGGCTCATCATCTCAGAGGCTATTGCTGTTAACTCCAAAATTTCCACTGCCTGTTGCTACATGCAAGTTCTAACTGGTCAGAAAGAGAAATTTTGACTCAAACCTGGTAGGATGGTGCTCACCTGGAGGTATCACCTCCAGGAGGTATTGCCTTATGCTCAGTTTTCTATTACTCAGAGCCCAAATGCCACTGTGGATAACACTGTGCTTTTCCAGTGAGTAACTGGGAGGGGAGCGAATGCCTTTAGGAAGGAATTGACCTCTTTTCATCACAATTTGAGCTGATACGACTATTTTTGCTATTTCTGCCACCCAGTTTGGTATTAAACAAAGTGCAGGCGGAAAAAATCTGGGCAAGGGTTGTAAGGCACTTTTCCCTAAGTTCCAAAAAAAAGGATTCTGCAAGTATACTATGGAGGAGTTTCATCAGTTTGGAAAATACTATCTGCCAAGTGTAACTGCAAGATTTAGAAATCAAAGCTATGGAAATTTAGAAACAAACCCACACCACAGCACCCCATTAGTGTTCAGATGCCACGCGGGTATTGTGTGGTATTTCTCAATTAGTCACTGACGTCTCCCTGGGGAGGGGCGGGGGCATGTGGGCTCCTACATCTGGAGACTGCCTGTAGTGTAAATGTTTCACATTCCAGTCAGCTACCACACACCCTAGACAATTTTCTTTTAAAGCAGCAGAACCCTGCTGAGAACCTGCCCTGTTACACAGCAGTGCAAGAGCTGTTTACATCAACTATGTAATCCTTAATGCAAAGAAATGTACCTTTGACAGTTCGTGTTACTCCTGTTTCTTTTACTCAGAACCTGACATCTTAGAACTGTGTAACTCGCTTGAGTGGGACGCTGCACAGGGATAAAATTTAACTCAGATAGCCAGAGGTTGATTTTGGCTGGCTGGCTGGCTGCTTTGTGACTGCATTATTACAGAAAGCTTCTCTAAACATAAATGTAGTATTTTAAGTTGTTTTCATTGTAACTATAAGGCTTCAAGCAAAGAGAGAAGAGACTAGTTAACAGAATTGTAGGAAGACCAGCAGGTAGAACTGACAATACCACCCTGGGTTTTACTTCAACAGACAAGCATGTGAAAGCAGAACTAGGAGGGAAATGAAATATGATTATGTAAATTCATTGATCATTAGTTATTGCAACTCTCATGTTTTTTCCCTTGTTAGAAATAATTGCATGACTCTACTAGTGATTGCCTTCAGGGAAGCAGAGCTTTATTCCAGCTTAGTGAATGCTGACAAATCAGAACAGTAACATCACAAAGCAGCACCAACTTACGAGCTTTTTATGTAATAGTTATACTCATATACAAGACACTTTACCTGAAGAAATAACTAAGCTTTGATCCTTCAGCATATTCCCTCACTTCAGCCCAGAGACAGTTCTCTGAGACAGACTTAGGCAGCTGTCCCACTGACAACTTACACACGCTCCTCAGCAAAGCAGACTCTGGCAAGCACAAGAGGCACCACAACACTCTGAGCTACCTACCACCAGCTACATACATCTGCCTGAAAACAAGGGAAACACTACAGGTCTGTAGTACAGGATTGGAGGCTTCCGGACGAATCTTATCCTTCTCTCCTACCCCTTCATGAATACACGGTCAGCTGCAGCCAGTCTTCAATGGTCATTTTGATCTGTCCGTCTCCCTCTCGGTCCAGGGACTTGAAAGCCCAGAACATGCTGTCCAGTCGTACCAGGCAGCTAATGAAGTTGTTGAAATCCATGCTACCACCCTCGTCGGCATACCGGCGCACAATAACCTGGCAGAGTTGTTCGTTCAGACGGAATCCTGCAGCCTGCAAGGCACCCGGCAGCTGAGCTCTCCCGATGGTGCCTGACTGATCTGTATCATACTGCTTGAATACGCACTGCCATTTTTTGATATTGTTCCACAAATATTTAAACCCTTCAAAGCCCGGTTTGCCATTTGTATCACTGTCCATGACAGCTACCATGCTGTGGCATGTGTCTAAGCTGAAGCCATCTGTCTTCAAGTCTTCATGTCTGGAAACCACTTTGTTCAGAATGTCCCTTAGCTCTGTGGCACACACTTCCGTATCATCTCCAGCCAGCTGGGCAAAAAGGCGACGAAACCGTTTGGTCTCCTCACTCTCATAAATTTCCACATTTGTAAAATGACTGTGAGGAGGTGGAGGTGGTTCTGGATTATACTGAGCTGCTGCTTCACTTATAAGGTTGACAAGACCTCTAAAAAGTCCTCCAAGACTCCCTCCATGTCCACCTCCTGTTAGGAGACCTCCAAGGCCACGTGCAAGGCTCCCTCCATGACCACCACCACTTCCTCCACTCAGCAGAGCTTTAGCGAGGAACATCGCGAAGGTTTTTTGAAGGCAGCTGCTCAGAGACGCAGTGCTTCTGTAACCCTCCGAAGCCTTACTGTCTGTGAGCTGGGCGTGGGCAAAACACAGCTACTCTGTGTGCTCAGCCTTCATGTCTGTGCTTGTCGCCAGCTGCCAGAGTTATCTCAGATCTCAGCAGTTTCTGTCAACTGCTGATACACCTCTGTCTGACTCTTCTCTGCAGTTAGCTGTATGTGATTTGTGGATGTTTGTTTCGGAAAACAAATAACGAGGCTGAAAGCCCCAGAGCCGTAGTCTCAAAATACCTTGGCTCATAACTGAAGCAATGTGAAGAGAGCCCTGCCACGTTAGCGTGACGGTTCCTCCGCTAAGCTGATCTCCTTACAGATGAATGCAGTGAAAGCTTACTAGAGTCTTGTCTCTTCTTGCAATCTTCTACGCTTTCAACGCTTTAGTGAGCTGAGCATTACATGGCTAATTCCAGTCACTGATGCTGTTGTGCCAGATAGGGAAAGTGAAGGAATCTTGACTGCCCTTAATTATTTTGGTTGCCACACCATATTTCTGTTGTAAGTACTGTGCTTCAGGACTCGGACTACGTGTTCATAGGAGCCAGTGGTCCAAGGTGGGGAGGCAAGAATGAAGAAAGCTTGTAAAACCATTTTACCTGGAAAAATCCTGGGACAGTTTTAAGCAGCGTATACAATGTAATGACCTCCTGAGGACAGGTGAATGGCTAAAGCTAACTTGATCGGGAAGAGTGATGCTGACCTGGGAGAGCTCCTATGATAAGAAACAAACTCCAGCTCATACGCACTTGCAGTACAACACACTGCTTGCACTCCAGCATGTACTGGATGCCCAGAAGAAAGATGCTTCTATGCTACACTCCAGAAACTGACACTCTTGGTATAGTCAGAGGGATCCACAGAGCAATTTTCCTCATCTTCAGAGAGAAGCAGAAAATGAGATCACCACTGACTATGGATGAAAGCCTAAATGAGCAGACTAACTAACACACAGCCTCCTTTATGGGTGCAGATAGGCAAGAGGCATCCTTATACTGTCCAAAAGGACCCTTCACAAACACAGCAGGAACACTTGCTCTAGGCAGCTTCAATCTTTCTTAAGTTGTCTACTTACAACTCCATCGGTTAATTAAGCTGTCACAGTGTACATAAGCTCAAAATCTGGGGTGGGCAGAAGGAAATATTCAGCCATTACCAGAATGGAGATTATCATCTGATGGTGGTGCAGCAACCTGGCCTAAGAGATGGCTGTCATCTCACACGTTATAAACTGACCAACCTTTTTCCATCAAAACTTAAGAATGCAAGAATTGCTTATCTTGCCTACAGGAATTGCTAACCGAGAAGCATTTACTAAGCTGGACATAATGAATTCAATATCCTTTTGGGATGTGACTCTTAACAAAACATTGTCAACAAGATTTCCAGTCAGTTAACCAACCACTCACCCTGTCGAAGAGTAGAAACAGCTCTTTAAGGACATCTGAAATAGGCAGCTTCAAGTACTCTGCAAACTCTTCAATTCCGATTCTTCCCCCTTTGGAAGCACTTGCAATAGCAGCAAAGGTATCCAACTGCTCTCTGACATGATTCCATTTTAGGCTATGCAAACATGAGGGAGAGGAGATATTTCTATACAGCAGCTCTTGGACAGATGGAATTTCAGTAGGAGTTATTACAGTGTTCAAAGACAAAAAATAGCCAAACAGGGCATGTGTGTACAGCATTAGAAATGTTGTACTTCCAACCTGATATTTTATATGAAATCAGCAATTAAGAACAACTCCCCTTGGCTATTAATACTAAAAGCAGGTAGTTCTATGCTTGGGTATATCAGACTTCCATAGAGTAACTTCGCAAACCTAGAATCATCCGTCCAGAAACTAGACTAGTCTAGCAGACAGCTTTTCATTACCATAAATTCACATCATGCTCTAGGGTGAGTATTTCCTTAACAGAAGGGAATAGATCTCAGCTCTATTTGCTAACTCTCTACCCAAATGCTAGTACTGCTACAGCCTGAGAAGTATCTGATCTCTCTGCAGAAATACACCACTGCACCTCAGTAAGAATAATTAGGATTGACATGTAACTATTGAAGATTGTTTCAGACAGAGTTCCATAAATGGATATATAGCACATGTGGAATAAGTCAAGATTCACTGTGCACATACTTCAGATTTGACCACAGCCATGCCAGGTTATTTGATGGAATAAGTGGTTCAGTCCTCAAAGTCCACTGTATCCAGACAGAAGAAGTCGACACCACTAGGGAAACATGGCTGCACAGTACAACTAAGAACAGTAAGCCACTGGCTGAAGTCTCAGGTTGGAAAATAGGCTTTTTACTTCCTACCACACACTGCCTGTGCACCTCTACAAAAGCAATTTAAACTGGGCACCAAGATCACCATCAAGTGCCTAAAATAGGTACTGCTCTACCTTCCTCTCCTTTTGGTGAGATAAATCCATAAAAGATTAGAAAAATGCATTTTTCCCCTTGTAACACTACCCAAAAAATTACTTGGGATTAGTTCTTACTGGGATTTTCCTCATCTCCGATTTCCATACAGTTTATGCATGTAAGCTGTATACATAAATACACATATATTACACATGGCCAAGCCAGTTGTCAGGGAATTTACCCTTTTGCAGATGGCCATCAACACCAGCAGCACTGCAGTCATTATGCTACCAACAGCTGAACTTCCCTTACTTGAGTTTCTTGCTAATTTTGGTGAACTCCACCAGCCCAGCTTCCATGGGTAAAGTCATAAATCATCAGTCTGCAATCTTCAAAAGTGTGATCAGTGACTGGCACATTCAGAGCACTGAAACAAAATTAAGGAAAAAGAAAAAGCAGTTTCATATATTAAAATTATTTTCAGTTGACTGTTTCCCTTCTCTGTTCTCAGTTTGGCTGTAATGCCAATATACAAAACAAATGATAATTCATTCTTGCACTGCTGCAAGTAGGATAAAGCACTATATACCACTTTGTGAAACCATACTGTGAAAGTACACTATGGAAGCGTCATGATGTTTTAAGATTTACAGTCTTGTGAGTGCAGCCCAGTAACCTTGGAGAACAAACCACTCCCTTATTCTTGCCGAGCAAATAGGGGAGCAATTTATTCCAGCTCTTCATAAATTGAACATACTATGTTCCAAGGTAAGACAACCTTCTCTGTGCTCCATATAAAAACAATCAGTGTGTTTTAGTACAGGAATTTGACACCTCTTAGTGAAAAACTAGAACAATTCCTACATAAAGTACCTGGGACTTGACTAAATTGTATTTTATGGCTAGGATATATACGGAATTGCTTGGATATAAAAGAAAAGTTTTCAAAGATTTTATTAATGACCGATTACATACGTTGCCATGGTTTGCCGGACTCTGTTGGCAAAAAGAATGGGATCGTTCTTTTCTTCCTCAGTAGGAACATGAACAGGCAGAAACTGAAAGAGATGAGTTATCCAATCAGTTTAATAGTCACCACTTTATCAGCAACATGGGCAATTTTTTGTCATTGTTTGGAATGGGGCAAAAACAAGAGAAAAAAAATCAGCCATGCAATGAAGGAACTGGACACTAGAGGTCTCAACCGCCTTAGAAACCACTCGGGCTCTTCTGCCCTAGCCTCAAAAAAGATTTGGTCCAAACCTTACTCTTAAAAGACTGGCAGAAGCTGCTTTAGTGTGAAAAATCAAGCCCCCAAAGAAGGAAAGTGTAATAAATGCATACTTACTTAGAAAATTAAATGCTACATTGGTAAGAGTGTGAGTCTGAAATACTGTACACTCCTCCTCAAAGAATCTTTATAAGTAATCTTATAAGCTAGAATAGTGTACGTACTATTTAGGATGTTTTTAAATACACACTGCAGTACCACCTCATACCTGTTACCTGTACCTGTCAGCAAGTGACTGATAAGTTTCCTGGAAGTTTTTCCTCAATGATAAAAATGTTAAGGAATCTTAGTGCTGAATTGTAAGTGGAACACTAACTGGACACAAATACTATAAAACTCCAAGCAGAAGAGTAAAAAACCCAACGAAACAAGCCTCTCTCCTCCCAAACACCCCAGATATCTAAATTACAACACGTTTACTGTCGAGGGTTTACTCAATGTTAATATGTAAGAAGTTGAAGTGGCATTACAGTAAACTGTACCCATAGATGAACTATCATCTAACGTGGCATGAATCAGCATCTGTTTCTTTGCAAAGTAGTGTGTGTGTAAGAGTATTTTGTTTTTTCTACTTCAGTCTGCAGCTTGCAGCTCTGTTTACCATGCCTCTTCTCAGTTACAGTTATCATTTAGCTCAGCTACTCCCCACCCGGCAACCTTGCCCTTAAATCCTAGATTTTAGAGCCTAGACAGCAATTCTAGAACAAGGTGCTGCTTATGGTTCACTGGCAGACAAAGTTGCTATTTATGTGTCAACATGTTTCTTAGGCACTAATATAGTGGTAACCAGCCCACATAGAGGCAGTCCATCCTGCACAGCCCTCTTAGGTTTGTTTTCAAGGAATGCTGCCTCTTCGCAATTAAAACCAGTAAGTTTATGGAATAGGTTATCTGTCAAATAGCCATAACAATTTTCTGTTTATAGCTAAAAGTCCTGCCCTGCCCCATGAGAACAGCACGGGTGCAGCTGTTCACATGAAGGTTCGAGACTTCAGTCCTTCTGTAAGCAGTTGCCAGCTCTGCTCAAGTCTGACATACGTCCCTGCTTATACAACTCCCTGTCATAGGTCATGTAACTCTTAAATCGAGGAAGCACAGGCACACACTGTACAGACATGGAAAACTCTCATCGCTAGGTGAGATGAAGTCATAACTCTGAGTTTATCTATGCAAACATGGGCCATGGTCTTGAAGTGGTCATTACATCATGTGAGGCTGAGGTGTTGCTCAGACAGCAACCTGAATTTCTGGTAGGTTAAACAACACCTCTGTCCCCCTCAAAAAACCCATCTACAATTATTCATAAAACCAGCTTGCCAGAAACCACAGCCGGGGATGAAGAATTTGGTTTCCCGGCCTCCTGAGGTGGCATGCATGATCTCACACCCCCCCAGCTGCTTATCTGGCAAAGTGTACCTTCCCTGACAAACTGCAGTCCTGGAAGAAAAATTCTTCACTGCTCTTTCAGTATCATAGTAGCAAAATACTTCTCTGATCTGCTTTTGACCTAGCCTCTCTTCTTACACAATTTGCCAAATGCTGTACCTTTTGCAGCCCTAAAACTCACCGCCAAGGTTCACTGCTTGATTTCAATATCCATCCACAGTTTGTTAGAACGTGGCTAGACATGCACGCACAAACCCCCTGGCCTGCTCGTGCAGGGTAGGTAGAGGCTGTGCAAGGCCAACGGGAGTGGAGAGGCTGCTTGCTTACAGTATGGGATAGCAACAGAAATGTCGACTCCTAAGAGGAGTATCCCGATTCCCTCCTTCCTCAGGCAAATCTGCCCCTTCTTTTTTGAAATGGAAGGACTTTTGCACTGATGGTAAGAAATCAGTTCCACTTTGGGGAGACATGCTGCTGTGAAAGCTGCATATTTTTCCCTTAAAATGAATTTCACTGTTTCACAACAAAGACCATATTGCTAGTTGTTAGTAGTAGCAACACTGCTTGTATTTGCAAAGCTTTGCACAACTTTGCTGGATTCTGTGTTTTGCAAAACCTGCCTGAAATCCTCCCATTCCTCAGCCCCCAAGCCAACTCAGTCCACCCTGACAACACTTTGTGGCCTGGCAAGGACAGGAAGTACAACACAAACAAACTGATCACACCTCAGTTACGCAGCTCCTCACTGCTGTGTTCTGAACGCTGGCGCTCTGACAGGCAGCAGTCAGACTAAGCCTACCGATAAAATGAAGCATGTGTTGTTTCAGTTGTCATTCATGTGTCTGTGTGCTGTGCAGCTGATTTTAATGATCAAGGGAACTGGTTCATTATACAAGGCTCAGCCTTCTCCCCAGTGCCAGTACTGGAGTCCTTCAGTAAGCTCTTAGCTGCAGAAACCTTTTAGAGTTCAGTCTGGGAAGATGGTGAGGAAGAGAAGGATACTTGGAAGGGAACAGGGAAATGAGAAGGTGGGAACAAGAGAGAAGTTGTTACCTTTAACAGAATGTATTATAATTATATAAGGTGTTAAATCTAAGAATTATGCAAATGTGGTGATAATTAGCAATGATTTTACAATGCTTTAAAAATATAAGGCACTTCTGACAGCTTTCTTTTAGGAACTCATCAGATTAAATGATAAATAGATATGGACAACAAATCCATTACTCACCGTGATTCTGTTCTTGTTTCTGAGCCATTTGTTTATTGTTCACTAACAGAGTCTAATCACATGAATAATGCATTTATATTAAAGTATAAATTCCCTGGTTGCTGAATCTTAGCACAAATATATTTCTAATTCTTACCTCAACTTCTACCCTCGTGAAGAGCTGACACAGCGTCATTACACACAGCTCTTTTCTGCAGGCAAGAAGGAAAGAGAAAGAAAACCACATTATACTTATTTTAAAAAAAAGAGTATTTGCATATTAGTAGCTCAAACTTGACTGACAAAACCACAGCCATTACTGGGTAAGGTTTTTTAAGTACCTTGCCGTGAAATTCCCTGAAATGTTGCTTTCAGTGTTTTTTCTACGGAGCTTCTGAGTGCTCCTTGCTGACTGGGCAGGCAACCCCTTGTCTGTTGTCATGCATATTAACAACACTACACAGTTCCTTGGCCAGCAAAATCCACTGATGTTACTGTATGAAGAGGTGAATACACACTGGATTTTAAAGCTTTAAGAGCTTCGATTCTGAGAAGTGGCTTTACATCTTTTATTCTCTCATCTGCAAGATGGGACCAGTAACTTCCTTGTGCAGAACTGAAGCAAGGATCTGTTAGTATTCGCTAGCCATTCTGCAAACCCCAGTAGCGTTTACACAAACGTGTTAATGGAGTGTCAGTATCTTTGTGACCTTCAGTGATTTTTGAAAAGCTCCCAAATTTTAGTATCAACAGGTAAGGGGAGGAAGAAACTGTGGAAGAGGATAAGCATAATTGCTTCCACCTCTGACTTGTTCTCTTCCCTGTGATTTTTCAGCAGAAATGCACATTTGTTCTTTAGATCAGGAAAGTTATAACGGAAAACCTTCAAGCAGCCTTTCTTCTGTTCTTGTTTTGGATGAAACAAAAAAGCAAAAAGGAAAAGGCAGGAGAACGACGGGATCCCTTCTACTTTCTACAGGAATCAACTCTTCACGCTTGATTTTCTAACACATAACATCAGGTTCTGGTCCCAGTTCGGCAAAAAAGTAAGAAAGAAGTAGTAAGCGAAAGCAGAAACTGGGGCAGGAGGTTGCTGAGAGGGAGGCCGGTATTGTCCCACCCTGGCCACATTATCCACGAGGTTTTACAAAGTGACAGTTCTGCATTTTGTGGTCTGCAGGTTTGCACGGGGGATCCTCTTCTGATTCCAGTAATTTTTCTTAGCCATCTCTGGATTCTGTCCCATCCATCCATTCTTTTTCTTTCCATGACTTTGCCAAGTTGTTCCTTTCATCTTCTCAGAGGTTTCGATCTCAGCCTTCATCACCCAACCACCAGGCTTAGTCTCTAGTGAATAGGCAAGCCTCCTCCTTTCCACAGAATACCTCTGGTTTCATTTCTTCCTTCACCTATTCCTACACCATCCCTCAGAACTGAAGACACAGCTCCATTTCAATCTGCCAGCATAAACCCTTCATAAGGGAAATCTGTAGCATGCTACCGAATTTGCAATATTCGTTACTCTCAGTACACTGAGAACTGTTCCAGCGGCAGTAATAACAGCAAAAGGTCTTGGGAAGCTACATGAGGTGGACATTTTCATCTGGATCAGCTTTCATAACGTCCATTCTACAAGTGTGCAGGTGGTAGGATTAACTACTGATAGCTTAAAAGGTGCATATGACCTGCTCCACTAGTTCAGACACGTCTCAATATTAGTTTCCTTAAAAATTCAAGTCACACAGTAATCAGCACTACTGTACTTGGATACACTACCCATCCCACATGAAAAGGTGGTATATGGACTTTGCAAATCCACATCTTAATGAATGTTTCTAAGGTGAAAAGTATCTTCCAGACATATTTTCAGTGCAGCTGTGAAGGTTTTTTAATACTTTAATAAAATATTTCAGCATATTCCTGTGTGATCTACTCTAGGTGATCCTGCCCTGGCAGGGGGGTTGGACTAGATGATCTCTAGAGGTCCCTTCCAACCCTGACCATTCTGTCAATCTGTGAATATTAGAAGGCCACCTGTGTGGAGAAATAAACCCAGATCCATTGCCTAAATGGTTTATTGAAATATTTTTCATTATTTCAATGTCAGATACCATGTATATAGCCTCTTCACTGGGATCTCAGAGCAGTTGCTTTCGTTGAGTAAGGCAAAAATAAAAATCTAAAGAAGAATTCTAGATGTCAGAATGGAGAAAGATGGGGAAATTTGATACTTGTTTTGCCCATCTTCTTCATTTACTCTCATATGAGTCTTCAAAATCAGATGAAGGATAAACAGAGGGGATCACATTTCTTTTTTATTGTTTGTATACCAGGTAGGAAATGGTAAACATCTAATGGGTTTTGATGACTATGACTGTTCCCCAAAGAAAAAGAATTTCAACCCTTTCTTTGGCTCTAGTGTAACATGCAAAACATAGGAGAAAATTAAACAAAACAGTGGCAGAGCTGGAAATAATGCTTCCCCGCTGCCAACCCTTTCTCCAGCCATTCAGATATGAAATCTACTGCATGACAGCATTATCCCCAAGTATTTCCCCTCACAACAACAGATCTAGATGAACGTGTGTGTTGTCTTAGTGGAATATCTTTGGCAGACTGTTCAGCAGTGGGCGAAAAAAATTCTGTACATAATTTTCCTTAGGATTAAGATACTTACAGTGAATAGCCCTGCCATGTCCAGGTCACAGTATCCTGAGGAAAAAATAAAACACAGAAATGTATGACAAAACCAGATGAAAGTTAGAGAGCAGATAAGTTACAATATAAATCATGCACAAGCTTAGTAAAAGCAGATGATGGTTTTATAGTCATCTAGTGAAAATAAATAAAAGTGTCAAGGCGACTAGGATTCCTTGTCTTAAAAATCTGGAAATAAGCATGGCAGGCTTTTGATAAGATCAACAACTGAGAATAAAACTTACAGAGTTACTTATGTACTTTAAATCATTCATTCTGATCCAAACAACAGAAGTAGGAAAATAATAGTCTAGTAAGACTTTGCCAGAGGACTGTGCCAGTCCTTTTAGAAAGGCGCCCTCACAAATATATTTGATTTAGTTTCTAAGGACATTTCTGCACAGGCAATCTATCATGCTTTTGCTCTGCTTGTTTTTTTCTTATTCTACATTTATTACTTCCTGTATCTTATTTTTACACCATATACTGCAGATCCCTAAATCCTACCAGTGAAATGCCATACCAATCCCCGGTAGTCATTCACTTCACTGTTTTGAAATTGATCTGTAAAAGGATTTTACAAAGGAATCTCTGTAAATAACAACAATAACAATCACTTGGTTTTCACCTTAAAAACCATTAGGAATGAAAACTTTGGTCTTTTCTGGGTTTGCTGGATGATGAGATAATAAAACCAAAAGTTGCTAGACCGCCGTCCCAGCATCACACCTGTCAGTGAGCAGAGCCGAACCTCCGTACCCCCGTATTTGGCAGAAAGTGCAAACATTTACTTGGCAAAACAAGGGAAAGTTGCACGAGAAGAACCACCTGCAAAGCTGCCCTCTGAGGGGCCTGAAGCAGGGGGAGTGTTAGAGGTGCTGCATGGCTCAGCTTTGCTTTTGTTCAGGAACTCTGCAACCCCTGTTGCAGTAAGAGTATTTTGAACTTAAACAAGTGATGCCTAGTAGGGTAATTGTGTGCATTTCAGACATCAAAGTCCAGGCTCTGTGGCTTTGCGGAAGTTTCTAACTTCCGCTGCAATACTTCCCCATGCTCCCTCTTAATTTAACCATAGCCCAGCAGCCCAGCAGTACATTTTTCAAAATTAGAATAGCAGCTACACCACAGTGACACTTGGAAGCCTGGCTGCTTCCAGAAGCTCTCCAACGCTGCAGCTCAGGGCAATAGGTTCTTCGGTGACAACGCCAGATTTTGTTTTCCATATTCCTAGTTAGTGATAAAAGAATGTTCTGCTCACCAGCTTATTGGGGTATCGGAGCAACACAGGTTGTACAGGGACTCGTGGAACAAAGGCACCTGCAACCACAGATGAGAATGGATTGTTAAGACCAAGCTTAATACAGCAGTTGGGACTTTTAAGTGATTCATGTAAGACATGGTATCTGGAAGGAGAAATTTTTAAAAAAGGAGAGAATGGGAAATGTTCATTTAGGTTTGTTTTTTTTGCTAGGGTTTTTTTTGGGGGAGGTGCTGGGGGGGTTAGGTTTTAGTTTTGTGTCTTTTTTTTTTTAAATCAGCTGTGCAACTAGCGCATGTCAGGACAGAGAAGGGTTGGTCTCCGTTTCAAGGAAGAAGCTTCCTAAGATTCCTGGACTGTTCACGCTCAATTTCGGTGTGTTGTCTTCCCACTGACTGGCACTCGTTTCAAAAGATCAGATGCTCACAAGGCTGTTGAGCATTTCCTGAACCCTTCTCTGTTGAGATCATCTTCGTAAGTGATATGGATCTGAGCGTGTAGTACTGAACTTTGCTACCCATGACACACCGCAACACTAAGATAAAGGAGAGCGACATGGCTTTAACTGAAGTGCTGCACAGCCACCTCATGATCAGTGATACTATGAAGTACCTTTCTGTGTTAAAAATAATCTATTGACCTGCTTTGATAAGCTCTATGCAAAGAGATTTCATAACTTGGTTGCTAAGAACTGCATAGCAAAATTTACAGGAATCTAAGATGGCACGACTGTAAGCTGAGCTAAAAGAACATAGTAAGCAGCATGTATTTTGGTAGTTCAATAATAATCACAGTCAAATTTCTGGGTAAATAAATTAGATGAAAACTGTACCCCAAAAAAACCCCAACCAGCTAACCATATACATCACAGGTATTTTGCATCCTACAAAATACCAAAAATCAGAAGAGTAAGCTGACTAATACAAAATAATAGATTTAATGCCACTGAAACTTAACTCATGTAAGACATTACTACAATGCTGTTGTGGAAGATGTACCTGCAGAAGTATAGGCCTCACTAGAACTACCACATTAACATTTCACACATTATTTTCCAATAACATCACCACAAAATCTCTCACCTTGTTTAAATGTGATCAGGCAAGATCGGTTTGTGCAGGTGCCTTCTGGGAAAATCAGTATCTTAGATTTAAAGAGAAAAATACATATATACACACACATTTCATAAAAAGATTATACTTCAGCATCAGTTACATAAAGGCTGACTTTTTATGCAAGCTGTGACATGGTACACTGCATCACAAGAATATCATTGTTTCAAAAGGAAAGAATAATTGAAGGATGCTCACAGTAATACTAACCTGTTAACCTGAGCCATCTTGATTTGGTAACAAATGCTTTGTAAGAGAGGAGTGCTGGGGAAAGCCTTTATCAGTTCAGAAATATGGTACTAAAGGTCTTTCATCTGAAATGTTTAGTGTTGGTAGTGATATGAGAATTGTTCCGCTGCTGGCAGCTCCTCACTGAACTGCTGGGTATGTAAACATCAAGCGTCTGGGCAGACACGGAGTGCTTAAGGTACTCGAGGCTTTCCAGGCAGATGCTATCAGCACCAGCTGAGACGCCAGGTGCGACGAGAAGAGCACAGCTTGAGGGGCAGCAGCAAAAGGCAGAGCATGTGCATCTGCCATGCAGAGCTCTGAAGGCATCACACACCACTACGTGGCCTCTGAACCCGAATGACTCAGACTCACCAAACACCCAAGCGGTTTCCAAATTAGTGTCTGCAAGATACTAAATTAGATGCGCAGTGAGCTGCCGTGTGACACACCAGATCCAGCCCTCCGTGGAATATAAGGAAGCTTTGTTTCTCCTATCACTACAGGATCATAAGCAGCATTCCATAGAAACCTCAGCACAATAACTGGTCTGGATCAAGAGTGTTCAGGGTGTGCTCCCACTTCAGTCTGAATGAACAGGTCACGGTTAGATGAAAGAGGGCATCATTAGGTCATAACTGAGACACAGGCTGTTCTGAAGCATGACAGAGCGCGGCACACAGCGATTTAGTGTTAGTCTTTGGCCATGCATTCTGTAACCAGATATTGTTTGCTGGTGCTATGGACGCAATGGGTCTGTTTCTGGTTAGCATATGTCATAAGCCCCAGAACACGGATTAGCGACTGACCAAAGATTAAGTAATCATTCCCTCCTTCCCCCTTGTTCCGGTCCAGGATTGGGAGAAGCCCTGATCAGAACCTCATGCTATTAACAAGCACAAGCACTGCCCAGCCTGTTGGGTTTTGGTTTTAGGCAGAGGGAATGGGGAATCCAGCTACTCCTCCTTTTCTGTTGTGCTGAGATGGCAGCCCAGGCACTCAGAAGAGGACATGACAGACATCATCTCATGGTCGTTTCTCAAACCCCCGCCCCCAAAAAACACAGAAGGAAGGTGTGGCCAGAGCACAGGACTAGGAATCACCCAGTGACACTCCAGGTAGTACTGCTGACTCAGTCTTGGAGATTCCCAGATTACCTGACTCATAGACTACTTATGCCATAATACAGATCTAGTTTTTACCCCAAGTGCAGAATTGGTGTAAAGTCAATTCCCCTTTCCTCTCCATGCTGTTTTCAGCAGAGATTAGGTCTACCAGGGCTTTGCTGGAATCACTTTAGTCATAACAGTTTAGCAATCTAATTGTTAGTAAATCATAAATAAATAATAAATCAGTAGAGTCACAAGTGTTCCAGGCTTTTCTTCTTGCAAAGGATGTGATTTCCATCCCAGCCCTCTACCTGTCGTAAGAGCAGCGGAGTTGCTGCCTCAATGTTTTTCTCCCTCCACAGCAACCCCTGCTCCATTAGCTCTTCAGGATGGAAGGCCATCCAAGGCCTTCATGCGCAACAGCAGCTTGCTGCTGAAGAATGACCATGGGAAACAGCAGGCAGACTCAGTAACTACTGCTTCTGCATTAAAATCTTACCACAATTCAGAGCAATCTGAAAGTCTCACTTTTACTGCATTATTAACCTGAAGGTTGAACTGAGTTTCACCTCAGCTATTCTTCACACATGAAACTGATGTTTTAAGCTGAAGTACTGTTCATGCTGGAGCTTGGGCAGTCCGAGTTGCTCATCCCATCAACTGCTCACCCCTGAACCGTTGTGAGCACAGCTCTGCAATAGCTTCTCACACATGAGCTTACATAGGGGAAAGAGAAGGCCAGGAGCATCTGCACTGTGGAACAGCAATTGGTACTGGCTGGATTTTAACTGACCCATTTCTCATGACAACACTTTTTGGACACCAGCCTCTCATCTTCCTTTCCTAAACCAGTCATATACGTGAGCGCTGACTTCATCCTGGCACATCAACAGAATTCTACTCAGCTGGGTACTTACGCCATGATGATGCACAGTGAACTGCAATATGAGTATGTGACAGGATGACAGGATAGCAGTAATATATCTATTACCTGTGGCCACTGGCCTCTTGATAATGCCCGCTTAGTTATCTCGGTGACTGTATTCTTTCGTGAATCAGGGTCTTGACGAGAAACTGATACAGGCTGAAGGGAACTTAAAATTGCTGTCAAAGACAGAAAAAAAAATTGTCTTACACTACTGCTTAGAAAACATGGGTTCAAGGCTCCTTTGTATCAAAAAGCTTGTTATTCTCATACTAAGAGGCAGACTGCACAAACAGCTTTCAGACTAAGGAGATAAGAGCATTATTATTGTCCTCATTCTGCAAAAGGGGAAGTAAGACACAGAAGATATATATACACCGCCAGTTGAGGAGCTTTACAGTAGATATAAACATGCTAAATTCACCCAAACACATTCTGCTAATATTGCTGTTGTCTTCCACACAATGCTAAGGAGAAGACCTGATCGGGTCTCTGCTCATGAGCCACACTCAGACCTAACTCATGCAGACTGCAAGCAACAAGTAGTTTGAGTCTATGCTGAAGAAGAAAGATGTCCCTCTTCAATCACAAAGCACACACAGTGCGTATGTGAATTACGGAAAAAAAAATCAGATGTCAGAAGTCTCGATCAGGATGTGTCCACTCCTATGCTTTCAAGGTCAGGTCAGTGTGTTATGTTAGTTTACTTCCTATGAAGGCACTTTCGGTGTTGCCTGCCGAGTTTAGTTTTGGGTAAGTGTTGGCTTTTTCTCTCAAGAGTCCTATAGAGATAGGAGACATACAGCCAGCAGAAAGTCTACAGCTGATTCTAGGAATAATGCAAACAGGGATTCTTTTTTGTGCCAAAAGGAGAAGAAAATAATAGAAGCATGAATCATCTGATCTTTTTCATTCTCTGCATTTCCTTTTTGAATGATTTCTCTTTTGCTCTTTCCCAGTTTGACTCCCATAAAAAAAAAAAAATCTGTAACCTTGCCTGAGAGTTTAAACTTATAAATATGGTATTTTCCAGATTGCTGTAGCTTGGGTCTGTTTTGAAATAACCTTCATTAATCCGTGTTCTAGATTTGTGGGCCAGACTGTTCCAAGACAGCAGCTGAACAGATTTCTCAAGCTACCTACTGGGAGAATTTTACGAGAAAGCCTCTAGCCTGAGCAGTTCCAAAACATGCTTTCAGCATAAAGCCCATTTAAAGTGATACTGTATTTCAGATCTGAAAAGAAACAGCATACTTTTAGACATTTTGACAAATTCACAAAAGTAACTTGTTCCAGGGATTTCGCTGGAAATAATCTGTCAATATCTTTGGAACATAAGGATTTAAAAAGTCTGCCCCTAAATCAGTGTCAGAGTTCAGACTTTTTGGCCTCATGTCAAACTGCTGACTTCTAACATTTTATTTTTTCATAAATACTTACTGCCAAATACCGGAGCTGACAGGTTCTCTGCTCTAGACACTATTGATGGCATTCCAGTTAGGGCAGAAATAATGGCATCAAAAAAGCTTGAATGAGGAGCTGCAACAAAGATTGGGGCTTCCAGCAGACTTGCTATTTTCCCTTTTACTTTAACTTGGAAACCCATTATGAAGAACAAGGTACGCGTTAGGCATGAGAGTGTTGTCTGGATCATCCTCCTTGTAAACAGAAACACAAAAATATTATCCATCTTAGTTAGTACTTCTTTTGTACTTTGAAACAGAAGCCTACGAGAGATTTCCTAGTTCTCACCAGCACGGGGGCCAGGCACAGGGTAGCAATACTACTCACCGGGAGAGTGCAGGGCTAAAGGGGAAGAAGTAGAAGTAGAGAAGGGAACATCACCTTCTCATGTTCAAACCAGATTATAATCTTAAAGATAAAGCAATGTACAGCATCTTACTAAACCCTCCTCAAAGTACGCTACTTCTTTTGCCATACCTTATAGCACTGTAGCATAACACTACCGTGAGGGGAGGGTGGGTAATTAGCAGATTCAGTGTCCTTTTTATAAGAACTTATTTAACTCTGGTACTGTTTTTTTAACTACAGTTTTAACAAGAAAGAATTGATGAGAGTGTTCCCTTACTGGAATATGTTCCCTCAACAGGGGACATATCCCTTCATGGGACTCTCTCAGCCTTGGTAGAACTCACTTCCTTGTCTCCTCCTGCGTGCAGCCGCAGTGCATTGCAACTAGGAGGGAACTTCATTACTCTGAGGTCAGAGCTGAGTGACTGAAACCCAGAACCCACAAAGGCAGCTATAAAATACTCTTTCAAGGGCAACATAGCTAAGAGAGGAGCTGTCAAAGCTAATTTTGTCATAAATTAGACAAAGGCTACATAGAGGCTCAGCCTATGTAATATTACCAAATACTGCACTTAATGAGTTTCTTTTCTAAAATAGTCCTATTAGTATTAGTACTAAAATAAGTTCTATAAAGATTTTTATACAGATTTCGTTCAGCCTCAAGACAATTGAAAACCCACCTATTTAAAATGCTCCACTATTGTTGTTGCTTCACCTAAATGGGCAAAACTAGGATTTCACAGAGGAAAAAAGGGGAGGGGAGCAGGGGAAGGGGGATGATGCTGGCTTTATGTTATTTAAAAAAAAAAAGCACAGTTTTCATGAATATTGGTCACTATTTACCTTCTCCATCCCTTAAGTGGCACAGATCCTTTTCCATGGTGACGGAAAGTTGCAATTGATGCACAGAGCCATGCTAGCAGTACAATGAATGCAATGCATATGGCACGGATGGGTAGCAAAATAATCCCCTGAAGAACAGTCTAGAAAAAAGAGGGGAAAAATCTTAAGAAATGGTATCAACAGGAATCACTCTGATATTTGTGTAGTTACAGTAGATGGACTTGAAAATACTACAATTACTGCTATGTGCTTTGGTAAGGAAAGCATTAATGATTCCCGTGTTCATATGGGGAAGTCAGCCTTTGACAGCATTTCGTTTTCACTTTTGGGTTCCCATTTCAGGTAGAACTGGAACATCTGAGTATGTGAGGCTTTGGCTTGGTTGTTAGACAGAAAAGGTAAACAGAGTTTGCTGGCTTTTGTTTATACTTAGACTTGGTCTGCAGCAGCCAACCAGCTCAGATGAGCCTGGCCAGCTGATGGATATCTCCACCACGGAGCCTTCTGTAACCAGCTGGCTGTCTGGAAGCCAAGTGGGATTGTTAAGATGACTAAAACGTACTCTTGGCCTTTCAAAATGACAGATCTTGTGTTGAGTCACACTGTTGCTGCAAGTGATCCTCACTGTTGCTTGGAGTAATGCACACACAACACAACTGCCTTTCCCCTAGCTGGGATTTAAGCAAAATGGAACTTTCAGTAAAACAGAACCTGTGGTATAAAGCAAAGGTTGAGACTTTACAGTGTCGTTAAAGCTGCTCTAGCAGCTCTTGGCTCCTTGCCTTTGCAAGTGGTTTGCTCACTGCCCACACTAAACATACAGCAGAACACTTTTATGAAGATTAACTTGTTGCCTCCTATTTGAAGCATTTTGGGGATTAACCTCTGTGACAGGACCTCCTTGAATTTTTCAGAATAAATTGAGGAAGCTTAGTTCCCTTTCCTCTCCACAATCAGGAAACTGTTACTAGCTTGCTTTAACTTGAACAGACACTGCTGAGTGAGTTGTGCTGCAGGCACAGCCAGCCAAGCTAGGTAGCAAAGCGGGTATAAAACAGATCCAAGCCAACCCTACGGTTCACCGCTGCTTCAGTTCTTCACATGCATTTGTAAAAGGAGTGAGGTGAAGGAGAAACACTAACATGCCCTGGCTGCAAATAATCCTCAGTTATCACCCCCAGCTCTCCCTGGGGAATTCCTCCCTAGGGAATTTTTAGCTTGCTTTTGTTTGTGCTCAGCTCCAGAAAGCAGGTGTATTGGCACAAGGCTGTTAACAGGCAGCTGTGATACTGGGCAGGGCAGGAAGAAATCCTTAATTGTTCTACCCCAGGAAATTAGGTTAGAAACTATATCCTGAAGGTTGGCCTTTATGGCGCAACACCGCGCCATGCAGATGGAGCAAGCTCAGGCCTGGGAGGCAGGTGAGCTGTTAGCATGCGGAAGTCACAGCCTAACATTCCTGGGAAGCTAGTAAACGGTTCAACTCATTTTGGCACCTAATCCAGCTCAGCTACCACTCACTGAATAGGATCAGCTCTGCGTGCATACATATGCACACACCCAAGCAGAAGTGTAATAGTTTTGGGTTTTTTTTGGGGGGGAGTGGGGAGGTTGTTGGGTTTTTTTGGGGCTGTTTCTAAAAGTCCTGTAAAACTTCATAAGAGTGCACCAGTGGTCACGGGCTGACAGCTCCACCGGTTCAGAAGTATGGTAGAAGTTACTGAAACAGAGTTATGCTCATGAGCTTTACAATTTTTTAAGAAAATCAACAGCTGATTAAGTGTTCCTCTCAAAATCAGCCTTTCCAGTCAGCTCTCTGACTCCTTACTGTACAGGAAAAGCAAGGCTTTTAATAATAAGTAAGTTTTTCAAAATAGTTTGCAACTTACCTACCTAAGCTATGATTGTTAAGCAACACAATGGATTTTAATTTATCTCTTTTCTTCAGAAAGGAGCAAGTGTTTGTAGTACATTTGGAATAGAAGCATCCTTGAGTATTATTTATCCAATTATTTAACACAGTAGGTTGGTTCTACTTGTGCTTTCATCAACATGGTCCTCTTCCTCCCCACCAAATTCCTTCCATCTCCACTTACTGTCCTCTTATATTCAGGAGAGGCTCTGGCTCTAAACCCTGTGACACTGACAAGGATTAACAGGAATGTGGGGCCTTCAGAACTTAGTTCTGTGTTACAAAAGGCACGACGAAAACAGACCACACATAATAGTGGATACAGAGCATAAATTAGGATGAGAAGCAGGTACATGGTGCCACTTACGGTGAATCTGAACAAGTCAGGTAGCAAGTTAAACCAACCAAGACCACTTGATTTTCCTGAAAATCAGATGTGTCTTTTTGTCTCCATGTGTCCTCTTATACCATGATCTATAGGCCCAGTTCAACTTTACAGTTGCATTCAGTTATGCAGAATGGGCAGCATAAGCATAAATCTGTGTGTTTTGACTTAAAATAATCTTTTTTGTTATGAAAAAAGAGCATTTATGCACTGACCTATAATGAAAAATAAAGGATGCAACAGCGAAAGCAGAACAATCCCTTCCTCAAAACTTTAATAAATTCATTAATCTATTTTAGGCAGATGTGCAGGTGGTACTGATTTGCTGATGCAAGCTATTGCCTTTCTAGGTCACTGTGTAATGAGGCAGAGTTAATTTCTGCTCCATCAGCTGCAGAGTAGGGTAAGAAAAGGACAGAAAAGAGAAGGGTCAAGGTAGGCTAGAAAAGAAAAAGTACAGGAAAAAAACATACAGAAGAAAATACAGGTTCAAAGTTTAGTAACTACTAAATAGGATCAGAGCCACTCCAGCTTCTGTAAACAGTAATCACAAAGATGGTATTATTCTGAGTCATCCGAAGAACCTTTTCCCACATTTAGAATCACCTGTGTACGTTCTATTTAAGTTATCTGCAAGAACTGCACAGCCCATTGCTGCAGACACCTGCAGGAGTCCTTGCTGTCCAGGTCCCACTCCCATAGCTGACGGACCCTTAAGCAATACATGGTACAGTCACTGATGTCAGGAACTAGGGACGGGGGAAAACAGGTCTGTCAGAAAGCTGCAGAACCCAGTCTGAAAGATTGCTCTACTTCAGCAGCTGACAGGTTATCTAGGAAGCAGCAGAAGAGCAGGCTGGGGACCAGACTGAAGCTCAGCTCCAACTGAACTCCGCTGGCATCAGAAACTGTGAGCAGATGGACTGTCTCCCAGAGCAGTACATGCATAGCAAGGCAGGGTCTTCCACGAGCATGTCCCAGCTCTCTGCCAAGCAGTCCAGCTGCTTAGTCCCACACACAGGGTTAAAAACAATCTTGCGTTTAGAGTGCTGGTAGCTCACCATTACACAAATCCATCTCTTCTGAATACAGGAAAACGTAGTCAAGACTGAACTAGTATTTGTGCTGTGCAGTGCAGGTCAGAAGAGGGAAGGTGAGCAATCAGGATGAACAGAACTAAACTGAAAAAAAACCAGAAAAAAACCAGCAATTAACTGCAGCCAGCTTCAGTCAGAGGATGGAAACCAGAGGTATTCGAAAGACTGTTTTAAACTCATTTGGCACACGCAGATGTTTAGCACAGCACAACTGGTTCTTCTTTTGAACATTCCAAAGACAAAAATCTTATTGGCTGTTAAATCGTTACCAATACAAGGATTGGCAAAAAAACTGTAAAATCTGCTCTGCTTTTCAGTCTGGCTACAGACTATGTTGATATCTGAAGCTGAATGAAATGCAAACAGCTAGCCTGTCTCACTTTCAAGGTCCATTCATGAGAGGTCAGCAGCCTTTACATTCAAGGAGTTCACCAGCATATGAAAATCCAACTTTGATCCCCCAGAGAGGGTTTTGAAATTGTATGCTATTCCTTTAGCATACACTGATAAAAATAGATTTCAATATGGGGAACATAACAAAACAATCCTTTAACATGCAAGAATGGAGATATGCTACACTTGATTTACATGGAAAGAGAAGGGATGTTTCCCTTTTCTGAAGTTTATTGTAACACACTCGGTAAGGCTCCGATTCCCAGCTGGTCTGATACACAGTGCTGGGCAAGAGAGGAACAGGCGGTAGCAGGATAATGCAGACAGTAGGAAGTATGCTAGTCTCCATGACTGTAGGGGAAAAGAACAGAAAGGAGCAACACACAGTACAAAAAGGTTGTTTCTCTTGTGTCTTTTTGCTTTAAAATTCTGTGACTACTGCAGTTTTGCTTCCAAGCTCACTGCCACTGGGCCCTGACTCAGCCAGGTGCTTTTCCTTCCAGGTGTGTTATGGAGTTATGTATGGAGTGTGTCTTGCTTTAAGACATACCATGTTTTTCATCTCTTCCTCCTGAAGCAAAGAAGTAGGATATAGTTGTTATAGATAACATGGTAATTGTAGCTTAAACCCACAGCTTTTGAAAGTAGTCCGTGCATCCTCTACAAAGAGCAGCCAGCACAGAAAGCTGTCCGCTTCCGGAACCTCATTAACAAATGGGAATCTCTACCCTGGGGTTCATGCCTACAGCTATCGATTCAGATTCACCTGAAATGTGTTTCAGGCTTCTAGTAAAACATAGGGGATAAAAGGATTTGAAATTGTTTTCCAGGTTTCTCACATTTCCTCCGCCCAAACACCTTCAGGGCAAACATGATACGTAACTTGAGAAAGAGCTATATGAAACATAAAATATTTAGTTGCACATCAGCCTCAGATATTTGTAACAATCAGCAGAAGATGCTGTAAGTTCACCTATACAGCAATGTTCTCATTGTCTTCAGTGAGATGTCAGCTCACATTTGGTTCATCAGCTCAACTTTTAAAGAGAATGTTTTTAAAAATCAAAGCCCAGACATACGATTTGCTTTCTTAATCGTTAAGTACCATCCAAGTTTTACGTGCACTTGTACATAAGCTGTACTGGGACAGCATTCCGCTCAGAAGCCTGATTCAAGTCACTCAATGATACCAGTGAGTAACCCGGTGGAACTGGAGATAACTTTTTTGTTGTCCACACTGTAATATGGAAACAGCAGATTAACTCCCCCCTGCCCCAACCCACACTTAAAATCAGCCTGAAGTGAGTTGAGCATCTGAAACAGGACTACTGTAAAAAGTTATTTTCTCTTTTA